AAATCATTCCAGTGAAGGAATGTTAGAAATAATAATGTAGGCTACAGCTATGCTCTTATAGCATCCATTGTTGGAAAACCCACGGGCCCCGTTTCTGGTCTGATAAAGTAAATTCAATTCTGTACTCACCCCAATTAAAGCCGATAAAACGGGTTCACTCCACTCCAATAATGCACCTCCTGCCCATTTAGCGTTTGCAGTCACTATACGATACTCTATAAAGGATATGCACTGCCAGATATTCCTATTTAATAGCGACACACATTTATAAATGGTCAGTGCTGGAAATATCAAACCGTTCAACGACGCAGCATTTCAAACGACTCGCGTTTAAATGAGTGTATCGATATTAGAACATTTGGCGAATGGTGCATCCTCCTCCTCGGACAATATGGTCCCAACATCCTCCGTGCATGTTGCCTCTGTCTGGGAAAAACAGCGGTGATGTCATGCTGTCAATATGAGATGTTCATTGTTTATTAAAGCGCCTTCTTAAAGGAGTCGCACTACTGTTCTTGGTTCCGTGTCGAACTGTAACTGGAGTTGCCTTGCTGGCATTCTCTCTTAGATTTACACATGCTGAAGAAAACCGGTGTCTTTCACGAATAAATAATCAAAGCTTTCAGAATCTTTCATTTTGCCATTCTGCATGATCAGAGCTATAAAATGATACTACACCAGACTCAAAAGCCCTTCTTACTCGTAAAGGTTTGATATTTGAAACCACTATGCTCTGTCCAGAACCAACAGCAGTCAGGTATATTGCTGAATAATGAATGAGAGCAGTGGCATCTGTCTGCCATTGTAACGTTTTCTGTTTTACTGGGTTGCCCACACAGCCAACAGATAATGTAGGGACTCTCATGTACTTCACATATTTGTATGTAGGTGTATGTATGTGTACGAGATTGATATATGAGGCTCCACATTAGTGAAGATTCAGTTCAGTCATGAAACATCAACAATTAGCAGGCCATTTATTAAATTATGTTCATGCTTTTACCTGTTTACCAGACACGCTGTTCACATGGTTAGTGTTTTCTTACTAAATATGAAAAATTCAATAAACAATAGAGAATGCAGCATTATTTGCACTGCAGGGTGACAAATGATTATATTTGAAACAATATTTAAGACGTTTTGCATTTAAAAGTCAGCATCTGAGTGAAAATGAATTTGTCAGGAATTTGTCTTCCTACACTTTAAAACCCTTTAACTGTCACCGTCCCCTCTGTGGGACGCCTAAATTTACTTCACTATATTACAATTAAATCCTAATCTAATCATGACAAACTATATATTGTCGGAAAGGTCTAAGACTCCTAAATAATTTTTTACAAAAACATTGGTAAAATCTCTACAGTATGTAGGAAAAGTAATAGATTAATTTATGACAAGAGAGCACCTCAAAAATCTACATTCTGTGACACCACACTTCTATCACACTTTAGAAATCATCAGAAATGATATATCAATTTAAAACTTTAAATCTCAAAATTCATCCTTTGAAACCCATTCTAAAATCAAACATTGCATTACCATGAAAATGGTACATCAATATCATGTTACAAAATGTTTTCGTTCATGAATTATAAAAATGTAAGTTTGGATCGTCCACTTTCACGTCTATGTTCAAAAATGTGAGTGACAGTTAAAGGGTTAAGTGAACAAAATTGAGGAAAATTATTTAAGGGGATCTTTATGTCACGTTTTAGGCTATAGCTACTATTGACAGACTGAAATACTGAATGTGACAATTTACAAAATGGGTCTGAAACTGTATAATATTGACTTGGGTTCATTGGATTGACTCGTATTCGGAGATGCCTTTTCTTTATTTAATTTTGTTGGACTGTAATTGTCACTAGGAGAGTATGAATGACAGCTTGACAGCTACATCTTAATTACATTTTAAAGGGAGGTAAAGTTTGCTAGGAACTTATTTGCAGCTGACAGTGAAAACTGAACAATGTAATCTAAAAAATGCAGCCCGAAACACACAAGGCAATTTGTCGTGTGCTATTTGAGGATGTGTTATCTTGTTCCTTTTTTTTTGTCCCCAGAATTGTGTTAATAGATACATTCTCTGGAAGGAAAGGGAAAACGTGATTGTCATGCTAATCCGAGCTGTCCATCAATTAATTTTTATCGTGGTCTACGTGTGTCTACCTTTTTTCTTTTTTCTTTAATGCATATATCGCCATCTAGTGAACAAGGATATGAGAGCAAATCTAGTCACGCAGCCCTTATAAACTGGTTTGAGTAGTAATAAGAAGAAGAATATGCGTATGAATCATAAAAAGAAGAAGAAGAATATGGCGCAGAGACGTTTTATTATTATATTATTATTTATTTAATTATCCAATAATCCCACACTCGGTACTTCACATAATGGTAATGTTTTTAGGTAGTTGTTAGCACATTTAATAAAGAAACTGTGTTTATCTTTTATGGAGGACGAAACCTGCAAAAACAATAAATAAATGAATATGCAAATAAATAAATAAATGTCTGTATAAATACACAAATTCTTGTTTAAATACATATAGAAATAATTAAACATGTGATTAAAGTAGGCAAATAAATTAAATAAATTGGTGGACAAATGGAAAATGTTTAAGGAAATGCTAAGCCCATCCTATTTATTTTCCTTTGAGCACTCATTTATTTCTGAATGTAGTTCCACATTTATTTTTCCTCTGCACAACATGCTAATGAGAGGGTGTCAACCATGGACTTGGTCGGGGTCTTGTGATAGCTGGGGGCGCGGCTTTCAAGCTGACAGGAAATGCATGGTGTTAATCCAGTATGGCCTACCTAATGTCACTTTTTCTGTTTAACAGAGCAAGATACATAAAAAACTGAGCTGTATTGTCCGTACAGTATCTGTGACTTTACAAACAACCCAAAGAAATGGCCAGTGTCGCTACAGACAACTGTAATATCAGTATCCCATGGTCAACGTGAGGTGACTGGTATGAAGTGGTTTAATCGAGGAACAGACCGTTTTTCCCATTAGTTATCAGAACAGAAAATACAGGCGACAAAAGTATGTTTATTAAGCAAATAACGGTTCAGTATTGCAATTAAGAGCTATGTAAGCATTACTATTTTACATTGGCCACTTAAAATCTTTTATGATTTAGCTCTCTCATGATTATAACTACAAAACTAACCCTATGAAAAAGTGTAAGATGATAATCAGTCCCCTTGACTGATGAAGTTAATAGCGGGTCACACGCCATCCGCCTACTCTTGCATAATTAAGCATTTCCTTAAACATTTTCCACTTGCCCACCAATTTATTTGATTTATTTGCCTACTTTCATCACATGTATACTTATTTATTTATGTATTTAAACAAGAATACGTGTATTTATGCACACATTTATTTATTTATTTGTGTATTTATTTATTTATTGTTTTTTGCAGGTTTCGCCCTCCATATATCTTGACGTTAAATTTAAATAAATATAAAGCAAAGTTTTTTTGTAATGATTAAATCATTACAGTACACACAGAACTGTGCTGATTATGTAGAATGTACCTAGACAGAACTCTAATCTTGGCAGATATTCGCATACGGAATGATTACACCGGCGTACGACTTCCTGTGACGTACAAGACCTTTTCCACAGTAAAGAGGCTCCACAAATCAAGCTAAAAAGGTATTTAAACTTAATGAAATGTAATATTTAGCTCTTTAAAGCTTAAGTCACGAATTACTGACCGACTGCACGAAATCGTTTTTCTCTTGTAATGAACTGTCCTCTATGACCAGGTCCTTTAAGCAGTAGTGTTCACAAATAAAGAAAGAAATCTTTAACAGCAATAAGTCATATTATAATAGATGGCTCTTCTCGTTGGCTAGTATAATATTTAACTCGGGGAAATTTGAAGTGTGTAAAACGCATAGTGCTGAAGCTGTTAAACCACATGTGACACGCATTTTAAGGACCTGAGAGACGGATGGGGAAGCGCTTTAACGTTACCTGCTACGCGCATGCGTGTTATTCACGTTCTCCAATGTGTGTCAACTAACCATGAACGAATACTCAAACTAGTTACTGAATATATTTTTTCAGTACTTGATGTCTGTTCACATGCCTTTATAATAAAGCATATATTTTTGGCCCTCGGCTGCTTCTTTCGGGATATTTGAAAGGGTAAGAAGACCATTTTTGGATCTGTTATCCGCCAGGTAAGTTAACGTTATATATACACAGCAACTGCAGACTCTTTAATAAAATGCACAACTGTGTTTGAAAGATATAGTTAAAATGTATTTATTTATATAATATTATTTCATTAAAGCATTAATGGAAATGAATGCACGAGACATTTAACTAATGCATTTATCTGTGTACTCTGTTAGGTGAAGATGGCTGGTCTGTCCAGCTATGCCCTGCGCATGGCCCGTCTGAGCGCCCGAATATTTGGGGATGTGGCCCGTCACACAGACTCCAAATCTATGAAAGTGGTAGAGTTGTTTAAAGAACCCCCGCTGGCCCAGAGAAAAGAAGTGTATGACTGGTACCCCCCACACAAGATCTACTATTCAATGACCCAGAAGCTCAGATTCATGGGACTTTTCAGGTAAGCTCTTTCATAATGAACCTATGGACATTTTTTTTCCTTCAAATTCTTGTTCTGTAGCTGACACTTTTTTGGCATTGATTTAGGGATGAGCACCAGGATTTCAAGGAGGAAATGAGACGATTGAGGAAACTGCGGGGTAAAGGAAAACCAAAGAAGGGAGAAGGGAAGAGAGCCACAAAGAAGAAGTAGACCAGCGCATTTCAGCTGTTTATGAACGGACATTATGAACGGAGAATACGATGAAGAAACTCTGTATATGAGTTGTATCTGTATGGACAACAGGACATGTTTATGACTGTGGTGATATGTTCTATTAGCAGAGATGATGGTGAAAGAAAAACACAAATGCTAAAATCGCTTTTGGTGTCTGTGATGGAAATTAAATGTTCATTTTTGTACATTTTGCATCTTCATTTAGCAATACCCGATCTTTTTTTTTTTTTGAAAAAACAAAATTGACATGGTTCTTCATTATGATTTTCTGCAGAGTTTTGCCAGTTTACAATGCTGGGACTCCTCAGAATACCTCACCAACACCTCTTACGTTTGTTTTCCTAAGAATACAGCGAAAGAGCCCATAAACCGTGCACAAGCCTCAAGGGTGTTTTGTTTCAGACACATGTTAACACTCCTTTAAGGGTCTACCATCATGAAAAGACAAAATTTCATGGGCTGTTATAAAGAAAGAGAGGCCAAAGCTTGGGCATTTGTGCTAACAAATCAATACACCACATACTGTAATGGACTCATAATGGAAATATGTCAGTCAGGATCATGTTAGAAATGATGCATTTTGTGTAGCAATAATTTTGATTGTGGGTGACATGCCATTCTCTAAAGCCCATATCCGCAAATTTTTTCCCTAATATGATAAAGATGATAAAAAGGCACCTTAAAACTGTTCCAATAACAGGCGTAACAGGGTCATCAATTTCTTGTACTCCAGATTGAGTTCCTATTCTGTGGTCTATTCTGCAGGATTGTCTAACTTATTAATTGGGGGCTTTATACTACTGATTATTTTTCATTTTTAGAGATGAAAAATAACATTAAATTCAGTATAAACTATATTTGGACAAAACTATGGTCATAAAAACATCTGCAGCATTTAAAAATGAACAATTCCGTGTAACAGCTGAACATCTGGTGTGTCCTAGAGCCTCACATAGTCAGGACATTGACCACTTTTATAGCCAAATGTGACCCTGGTCTTAAGTTGCATGGGTATATTTGTAGCAATAGCCAAACATACATTGTATGGGTCAAAATGATAGATTTTTCTTTTATGCCAAAAATCATTAGGATATTAAGTAAAGATCATGTTCCATGAAGATATTTTGTAAATTTCCTACCGTAAATATATCAAAACTTAATTTTTGATTAGTAATATGCATTGCTAAGAACTTCATTTGGACAACTTTAAAGGTGATTTTCTCAATATTTAGATTGATATTTTGCATCCTCAGATTCCAGATTTTCAAATAGTTGTATCTCGGCCAAATATTGTCCTATCCTAACAAACCATACATCAGTGGAAAGCTTATTTATTCAGCTTTCAGATGAAAAATTGACCCTTATGACTGGTTTTGTGTTCCAGGGTCACAAATAATCTTCTGATTAATGTTCAAATTCTGGTCTATTTTTCTGAAGAAATGTATTTGCATGCTCCACAACTATTGAAATAATTATGTGCATATGCCTAATGCATATACCAGCTGCTGTATTCAGATTCCTGTACACATTTGGGTTTTAATAAGAATTTTCATATGTATCTTGAAGAAAAAAGAAAGAAACAGTTGATATGTTTTTGGCTAGATTCTTAAAAAAAATTTTATATGTGCTTTATGTTATCATATTTGCTTTTATGGACTATATAGTATGATATAGTGAGAATATTGAGCATCTTTATTCAGAGAGCAAAAATATGCAATTTGGTGCAGTTGTTATTTATATGAAATGAAATTCTGATAGCTTGTAATGTAAATCAATGAGATTTTTTATACAGTACAGCAGACTACTTACATGAAAACAAATATCTGTTGTCACTCTTTATCTCCTCATAATACGTCTTAGTAATTTTTAATCAAAGCTTTGTAGTTTTAATTTAAACAATCAAATAATCTTAAATTGTTTCTGTCCACTAAATGTTTATCTTGAAATAGTACTCACAATATTCTTACTTATTCCTATATATTTCTTACTTTATAAAGAGGCCTTTTACTTACTAAGAAGTATGAACTATAAGAAGACACGTAGAAGAAGGTTTTCAGCAAAGTTTTGATCATTTAGATACAGCACGCTTTATATGGTTAAATATTATTTTTCCAGTACTTAATACACCTCTGGCCGCTTGATGTGAGATCATGTCGGATGGACTCTGCTCAGTCGTTCTAGGTAACATATATAAATATTAATGTTTATGCAGAGCTTTTGGGTTAAATTCAAGCTTTTGGGAGTTATTAGATAAAACAGCTACCTTTATATGGTCTACCTGATATATGAGAAAGGGTCATTCAAGTTGCATGATCGACGTGGCTGAAACAAACGTGTGACTTATTTGTTTTTATAATTTAGACTTTAATATTAGTGCACTGGTCGGCGTCCAGTATCCCCATTTACCCCACTACGGGTTTACATTTGGTGAATCTGTCTCCCCCTCCTGTCTCGTTCTCTGTTTCTTTCCTCTATTATTTTCCACTCAGTTTCTCGTGGTTTAAAATGGCGGCGTTGAGCAGCGCCGAGTCCCCACCGCCCGTCTTCAACGGAGACACCATGAACCGCGATCCGGAGCGGGACCCGGGACTGGACGAGCTGGGCGCGGGGCTCGAATCCGACTGTCCCGGAGGAGCGGCCATCCCCGAATGTCAACAGGACATTCCCGAGGAGGTACAATGGGGGAGTCGGGGTTAAAGGAGAGCTCGGGTGTTGAGCGGAGCTGGGCTGGATGGAAATGTTCAGGAAACACCGGCTGTAATACGGATCGTGTGGGGATGCAGTACATTGCAGGGGGCGAGATAATGCCCGCATATACATAAATATATAGTAGAGCAAATCTTATAACGTGCGCTTATGCATTTTCGCAAGGTGCATTTCCGAATGACGCCATTTATAATTCTCTCATTGCAGTTCTCTGAGCCAATGTTTATCAGAAGGCCTGTTCGTGTTTCATTTTTTGTATGTCCCCCCTCCCGACCCCGCTGCATAGCATGCATGCATCATATTAATGGGAAACTACAGATGCAACGGGGAATATCAGCGGCTCGCCTGCATTGTTTAATGTCCTTCTTTGTGTCAGCAGCCTGGCGCGAGCGGAGTCTGCGTTCGAATGCGTTTACATTTGCATTTAAATCTGCAGTGATGTCATTGTGCTCGTGCACTGGGCCCTGCGAACGTTCTACATTTATTTTTGATCTCGTGCAAATTTATTGCATTGTGCATCCTTCTTGTAAGCTGTCAGCTGACTGTCTGCACAAATCACCTATGCTGCTGCTATGTTCCATGAACACACTGGGGTATTTCGTGGGTACATTCTGCACACTGCAGGAACATCCAGTTTAAGTTAGTAGCTGTGTTTTGGAACCCGTTTGACCAGCTAATGACCAGCTTGTTCCAGAAACCAACTATTACCAGCTGGTTAGTTGATGCTCTACAGGGTTCCTCAAATCTTGCCCTGGAGGGCCAATGCGCTGCAGAGTTTAGCTCCAACCCTGATCAAACTCACCTACCTGTGATTTTCTAATGATCCTGAAGACGCTGATTAGCTTGCTCAGGTGTGTTTGATTAGGGTTAGAGCTAAACTGTGCAGGAAAGTGGATCTCGTGGGCCAGATTTGAGGGTCCCTGCTCTACAAGCTTGAAACCAGCTACAATGATCCAAAAAAAAGTTTACGCCATCATACAAACCTGGTTATTCAGGAAACAGCTTACCTATTTTGCTGGCAGACTAGTTGGATTAATGAGCAGCTTGTGTAAGTTATCATTGTAGGAGTGCTTAGTGATAATTGGATTAATTTGACTGCTGGCTGCTGTTACAGGGTTATACTGTGCGATTATACATAGGACTCGTCTTGCTTCTTTTTAAAATAGCATTTATACATTTAGTTTATTACCTTTTTTTAGTCATACTTGAAGTGAAAAATGCGGTATTGTTAAAGAATGGCGCATGGTTTTATCTGAGTGAACAGTCCATGAACTTAGCAGTTTTATTGATGGTCAGGGCTATAACTAACCACCAAAGACTTTGAAGGGTCTTGAACATATCTTCCCAATAAAGATTGGTTTGATGGGTTTTGCAATGGGAGCTTGTTAAACTTTTATGTTGACCCAGAATCTTGAATGATTGGTTACATATTTGCTGTATTGAGTTTTCACATTACTGCATTATTGACATGAATGTTGAAGGAACAGTTCACCCAAAACTTAAAATTCTATCATAAATTTCTCATTATGTAGTTGTACAACTGTATGACTTGTATAGATACAGTTAAGATAAGATCAATCTTGAAGAATGTAATGATCTTTTGTTTTGATACAAATTACACTGGAGCTTTTATGGTTGAAAAGACATTCAAAAGTATCATATATGATATATTTTATTCCAATGGGCTATTAACTGTCACAACTAGATCGAATTCAACTTGAGAATCCGTTCAATTCAATCCATTAACAGATCATTCAAGCAAATAATTTCTGTCGATAACGATTCACTCTGTTCTTTATGCAGTGCTATCATATGGCTTCAGAAGTCATATGGACTACTTTTTTTGGTGTTGGCATAATTTTTCAAGTGTAAAAGTTCCGGTTCCTTTTTTTTTTTTTGACCAGCTAATGACCAGCTTGTTCCAGAAACCAACTATTACCAGCTGGTTAGTTGATGCTCTACAGGGTTCCTCAAATCTTGCCCTGGAGGGCCAATGCGCTGCAGAGTTTAGCTCCAACCCTGATCAAACTCACCTACCTGTGATTTTCTAATGATCCTGAAGACGCTGATTAGCTTGCTCAGGTGTGTTTGATTAGGGTTAGAGCTAAACTGTGCAGGAAAGTGGATCTCGTGGGCCAGATTTGAGGGTCCCTGCTCTACAAGCTTGAAACCAGCTACAATGATCCAAAAAAAAGTTTACGCCATCATACAAACCTGGTTATTCAGGAAACAGCTTACCTATTTTGCTGGCAGACTAGTTGGATTAATGAGCAGCTTGTGTAAGTTATCATTGTAGGAGTGCTTAGTGATAATTGGATTAATTTGACTGCTGGCTGCTGTTACAGGGTTATACTGTGCGATTATACATAGGACTCGTCTTGCTTCTTTTTAAAATAGCATTTATACATTTAGTTTATTACCTTTTTTTAGTCATACTTGAAGTGAAAAATGCGGTATTGTTAAAGAATGGCGCATGGTTTTATCTGAGTGAACAGTCCATGAACTTAGCAGTTTTATTGATGGTCAGGGCTATAACTAACCACCAAAGACTTTGAAGGGTCTTGAACATATCTTCCCAATAAAGATTGGTTTGATGGGTTTTGCAATGGGAGCTTGTTAAACTTTTATGTTGACCCAGAATCTTGAATGATTGGTTACATATTTGCTGTATTGAGTTTTCACATTACTGCATTATTGACATGAATGTTGAAGGAACAGTTCACCCAAAACTTAAAATTCTATCATAAATTTCTCATTATGTAGTTGTACAACTGTATGACTTGTATAGATACAGTTAAGATAAGATCAATCTTGAAGAATGTAATGATCTTTTGTTTTGATACAAATTACACTGGAGCTTTTATGGTTGAAAAGACATTCAAAAGTATCATATATGATATATTTTATTCCAATGGGCTATTAACTGTCACAACTAGATCGAATTCAACTTGAGAATCCGTTCAATTCAATCCATTAACAGATCATTCAAGCAAATAATTTCTGTCGATAACGATTCACTCTGTTCTTTATGCAGTGCTATCATATGGCTTCAGAAGTCATATGGACTACTTTTTTTGGTGTTGGCATAATTTTTCAAGTGTAAAAGTTCCGGTTCCTTTTTTTTTTTTTAGGAAAAAACCCCCCAGTATATTCTTCAAAATATGTTCTTCTGCTTCTGTGTTCTATATAAAAAAGAAAGTCATACAGGTTTGGAATAGCATGAGGATGAGAAAATGATGACAGAATTTTCATTGTTGGGCCTCTTTGTAGAAGTTGTAGATGGCTGCAAGTATTTCACATGTATTGAGCTATTTTAAACGGTCTCTGTTATGTTGCATCATGTTAGAAACACGCAGTCTATTACCACATGGGGTTTGCTTTAAAAGAAAGGCTCGTAACAAATGTCTGTTTAAGAAACTCAGCAGTCTTTGCCTGTCAGGAGTTTATACTGGCAAGACTACTGAGAAAGTCCCTTGTCACTGGTGCCTTTTAGCCTTTTGTCGCACTAATTTGACTAGTAGAGCCAGTTTATCTGCACCGTTGATTCGGAATCAAGTGGCAGCTTGACTCTCGGAATGCAGGATTTTAAAAATCCGAACTAAAGTTAGATGCACTTAAATGTGCTATTTCATGGGGGCGTAGAGGCATTCCAAGTTTCTTGACAGTCTGCTGGAAAATTGTTTCTCCAAACGGTGATCATAATAAAGTTTACTTGTAAAGCTTTGTAGCACTGTCAGATTGTGTTTACTTGGCTGGGACATTTTCCAGTGAACTTGGGAGTATTTTCTGATGCTGCTTGTATTGCTTGGCAAAATTGAAAAATGTTTATTGGCTATTTGGAACAAGTGCATTGCTTGCATGTTTCCTTGAACAAATGCTTGGCTGTGATTTTGTAGCACTTTAAATTAAGAGAGAAACGTTTATAATATTGAATGTGATAGTACCCCCCCCCCCCCC